ATCTATTCGCGGCACAGCGAAACGAGCGATGCGCCAGACAAGCGATGAAGCGAGGAAGGCCGGACACGGGTTAACGAGACAGGGAACAGGCACGAGAACAGGCACGAGAACAGGAACGGGGCCGGGAAAGGGGCGAATATCGAGCGCAGGAGTCGAGGAGGCAAGGAAGCAAGGAAATAAGCAGGAAAGAGGCAGAAGGGGAGAAGGGGACGAGGAGCAGGAAGAGCGCATGGGAAAAGCGGGAAAAGAGGAACGCAGATAGCGGGTTTCCTCCTCCGGCGCTTCTGACTACGCTTGACGCACAACGGACTACTGCGACTACGCACTATTGCTGCGACCACTGCTAATACTGCTAGCTACTACCATTGCTGCTGCTGTCTCTGGTACTGCTGCTACTGCTGCTGCTACCCCCCAGAGAGCGGCTACTCTTGCTGGTGCTCACTGCGTATGATGGCCGACCGGCTTCCTGGCCTGGGCGTTACATGGCGGTAAGTGCCAGTCACACAGCCCCCGACGCTGCCGGCGCTGGTTGGCCGCCGGGCGGTGGCAGTCGCAGCCCATGGGCGGCTGGGTGGGTGGGGACGGGCGTCTGTATCGTTTCGTTTCGGCTGTCGCTTGCGCCAGGGATTGGCCGCCGCTGCCCAGGCCCATGGTTGGGCGGCGGGGAGCGGGGGTTCGTGTCGAAGCCCTGGGGCGGCCTTACGTAACTAGTAACTCATCCTGAGTCGCGGATTCGCAATGCCTGTGTACTGGACAAGGATCAGGATGTCTTGTTCCCTGAGTCACCTTTTTGCTCTCGAACCAGGTGCCTCAGCTCACCCTGGCAGCGTCTGCGCTAGACCTGGGGGTTTCATCCTGGGATTACTCTGTACGGGTATGTATGCATCTGTATTGGTGTATGTACCGTATCGTCACGTATTCCCAGTCAGTTTGTCGCTTCGGTTTTTTCAACTATCCAGCCACAACGGAATGAACAATAGCGGAGATAGTGATAACAATAAGAAGAAGAAAAAGAAGAAGGAGGAGGAGGAGGAGAAGCAGAAGAAAAGGAATGAGAATGAGACCTACAAAGGCTGAAAACTGCGAGCTTCACAATCGCACCCGGCACAACAAGGGCTAATCTGATCTATCCGTTGAAACTGGGCGGGGCTTAATTCAGGAATCAGGATCTAAGCGCGACAATAATACTCAAATTGTGGGAAGGAGTGGGAACTTGAATGGGCCCTGGAAGAAGAACCTCATCATTATCACGGCTAAAACAAGTGGCGTCGTATCCCCGTCCTCCCAGCCCTTACCTCTCATTCTGCCATTCGTCCCCCCACGAGAATTGAGCAGAGAAGAAAACATCTCGTGATCATCTGGGGCGGCGAGGATCGACTATTTGCCACATACGAGCACCCTCCTCTTGTAATATTGTTTCTGGCTTTGGGGAACTTGGGAGCCATTGTTCCACTCAGCAGCGCCCTCGGGCCCTCTTCCTCTCATGGCTTAACGCCCATGTCAGAGAACGGCCAAACCAGCGTCTAAAGACCACTGGACCATGTTGGCAGCCACAGAAAAGGAAATCTGGACGAATTCATCGCCAAGACGCCTTGAGCCAAATCGCGAATCGCGCCCAATCAGGCCTGAATCTGTTGAATCGCTGAATCGCTGATATGGTCCTACCCGGTATTTTTCTTTTCGTTTCTTTCTTTCTTTTGTTCAAGCTTCTTCGTGCAAGCAAGAGAGTCTTGGCTTGGAACCCAGCCCCGGAAGCACTGAGAATCTGAGACTCCCATCAGCATCACGCTGGGTCATCTGTGATCTGTGATCTGTTCGAAAATGAAGGAAACAGATCCATTCTCGAGCGGCTAGGTCTTACATCGTAAACGTACATGTATATGTACAGACATGTATATCTGTACTAGTTCTGTTGAACATGTCGAGGAAATAATACCACAACGGACACCGCTGCACGTCTTTGTCTCTTCGTGATGAGCCAGCGCATCACACTTCTGTTGGCTGTCACGATCATGTACTCTGTGCCTTGTATCATTTGTACAGTCATATCATGTCACCACACCCTGTCCGCTCCATCGGTAACTTGGAAGGTCAGCAGAGCGATAGTAAGACGAATAATAATGCGCCATGGGCAAAGTTAGCCAGCGGCGACTTCGGGAGTGCAGCAGCGATCCCCCTCTGGCGCGGCAAGGCCTTCTCTGCTCCTTGCATCCATACCCCCACAGCGGCCAGCCCGCCCTATCACCACCCGGAATCGACGGCCAGGTGATGGACCCGTCTGTCTGCTGTTTCTCTTGTCGTTGACCACAGGACTACAAGGCACCCACCTGTCATACCATTGATGTCGGCCATTCTGAGCAAGCAGCAGCCGGCAGCACGTCGGATTGGCTTTCTGCATACTCTGGTCCATCCTGTAAGCTTTCCGTGTTCAGGAATAATTTTCAGCTGCACCGCCTCATTGGCCATTGAGATCCTTGATTGATTTGACTGTCGGATGGGTTGAAAACACAAACAGACGCCAACAAGCGAAAGGGGAGCGGTCTGTGCCATCACAGACATCGCCCACAGCCTACGCAGTACAGGGCCACAGCCCGCATTCCTGTTCCACCAGCAGAATCGGAAGCATTATTGATGACTATGAACTTCTGATTCAGAATTGAAGCAGCTGCGCAGTTTGAATTTCTTCTGATAGGTCTCCCAATAATAAATACTCGTAAATATTATTATTTTTCAACTCCAGAGTGGTTGCACCCTTCCAACCAACTCATGACATACTGTACATACCAACCCTGTCAACGCTGGCGCCCTGACGAGTTCAAAAAAAAAAAAAAATGAATTTTCCATTCCCTGGTCCCCTGGGTAGCTCGTTTCATGAATTTCGACCACCCTCCCCCCATGCTATCTGCCTTTTGTTTTTGCGCCGTTCGGGCTGGCAGACCTCACGGATCCCTGTGCCGTGTCTCTTCGAGAATCCCTTCTTATCATACCGCCCAATCGTACAACAGCCATCCCTTCTTGGCAAGCTTGTGATCAGCCAAACTCTTGGTCGTTGTGATTTGACTGCTGGCTGTCTGGCGCTAGCCCCGAGAGGCGAAATGGGAAAAGGGGATGGGAATGGGAATGGGCAAAATATTTCTCAGCTTGGCGCGACACATTCCTCACATTGTAACAAGATGGACCCCCATCACCATCATCGTCATCGCCATGGCTGCATCGGAACAGGCGCTTGACACACAATGGTACGTATGTATACGTAACGTACGCGTACGCGGCTTACACACGTACGATACAGTACGTACAGTGATGTCTTGGGTCATGGTGATGAAACTGCCAGCTCATGCGTTTCTGTTCTCATCTACTTGCCTCAGTCTGCTTAACAGGATGATTATGACGATTATTCACTGTGACTTCGTGGGGGGGGTCAATATGGAATAATCCTTTTGCTGCCCTACACATATAGCCGTAGCATGGTTTCATCCAAAACACATTGGCCAAATGGGCCGTCCTGTG